GGCAGCGGACGACGGGCGTGGGACCTCTATTTCAGAACTGTCGTTCGCGGTACCGGCGAATTTTGTCTGCCTTTAAAAGAGAAATTTGGGACTGGTCAAAAGAATTGGTATTCATCCCGTACGACACGCCCGACCACCAAGCCGATTTGCACGAAGACGTCGCCGAGCCGTCGCTCCCTTCTCGTGGCTGAAGACATCGCTCGCGCAAACGTCAAGCGCGACGTGTCTACTTCGAGTGGAATATGCACGCGTGCGATTTCTTTACTAGGTGAGAATGTCGCGAATGCGTGGTGCATCCCGACTTCGACCCGGGAGTGCTTTTGCTAGAGGAAAATCGGCAGCAAACTTTTCAACTTACAGTTTATCGGCTAAATTATTACTAAGGAAAGAGATACCCCATTTTCGATATGCCCCAGTAGCTCAGTGGGAAAGACGTCCCCTTCACACGCGGTAGAGCCTGGTTCGATCCCCCGTGAAACCCTTTTTTTTTTTTTTTTCTAAATACTTTTGATGTCTACATTTCTTTTTTTTACAATTATTACTGAAGAAACAAAAACAAAAAATAAGAAACAAATTTTGTGGACGACACGTCGCTGAATTAAATGGTATGGGATTTCCTTTTTGACACCTGCGAACTCAATGTAATCACTTTCCACAAAATGCAAGGAGCATATAAATCAGGTACCGTCCGCTTCCCGAGGTGCCCGTAAATGGTCTACAGGAATTGCAGCCAGCCATTGGTCCCGATCCCGTTGATCTTTCGGAAACTCTGTCGCACAATGCCACTTCTGTTTCGGACGCGGGACATGTGAGCCAGCTCTTCACGCAACATCTTGGTTGTATTCTTTTCGGAGCCGATCAAAATTCACCACGGGCACTCACTACTCATCTCCAACTCCTCAATGTACAAAACAACTCATCTTGGAGTACAGAACAACGAGCGGAACAAACATAACTGCAAAAGAATCCCACGGCGAGCAGTTCCCATACGCCGCATGTCGTCTGCTACCAAAAAGGAGAAAAAAAAAAAGAAAAAAAAAAACACACGGTCGGGTGCAGCCACGTGACTTCCGCCACTCCACTCTCTTCTCTCCACTTCTCCGACCTCCGTCAGGTTTCGGTTTCGGTTTCGAGCAGTTGCGTCTTTTGGCTTTATTAAAAAAATACGGTACTCTGTTGCAAAATATTAATTGGGTAGTCCTCCGACACCATAATGAAGCGCCTGGCAAAAAATTAAAAATAAATTTTGGGGGGTGTCAGTGTCCCTTTAAAGAGCCTGGCCGCTACTTGAAACACCCGATAGAATAGGCCTCGTATTAGGGAAGAAACGGTGCTTTCTAGACTAGGACAGTCTCGAAAGTTTCTCCTTAAAATTTTTTACACGCGGTTTGCTTTAAAGGGAAGCTGAAGCGGTTTTGTATTTCAGTAAACACACTTAAAGGGGCACAGAAACGAAATTCCAGCGCTCATTTTTTAGCATTCAAGTGTTGCTTGCGGTTTTTTAAATTTTCTCATAGTTTGGCATGGAGGCCAAGGTCATACTTTGTGCAACTCTGTTGTCAACTTGAGTTAACACGAATGCCCGTTTCCTCGCTGTTGGAGGCGAGAAAGGCGGGCGCAAGCGTACCCGATTGCGGGCCGCACTCCTCGCTGCCCGCCGGTCACGTCACGTTTGGATGGCGGGCAAAACTGGGGAGGACAATGTTTCGGTTTCGGCAACGAACAAAGTATCACTTTTCTTAATTAACTAGTGTGAATCTGGGGGGATGAGATAGCGTTTTGGAATCGGGAAGCCATCAGCATTCAGCGATGCCTTTGGACTAGGTCACTCAAAAAATCGGCGGAGTTCCCCTTTAAATTGTCTTCATTTGACCTCCAAGATCTCGAATATCAAAATTATTTCTCGGGGAGATAATTTTCGAAGTAGTGCCGAAGGCCCTCCTCCTTGGAGCGTGACGTCACAAAAGGAGTTTCCGCTCTCCCGCATCTTCAGCGTCTGTCAGAGCTATGCACGTGCACTCTCGCTATTTTTTTAAAAAGGACGTCGCGACTGGTATTGGTGCGGGGGAATATACCTGGCAAGTTTGCAATTGCATGCACGGCGGCCGAAAGATTCTTTTATGACATCACGACTGGTCGGAGATTTTTAATGTTTTCTCGTGTTTAGTTACATCTTCGGGGAAAACAAACATAATACTGTAATCGACTTAATTTTTGCGTGCTCAATGTTTCGCGAATCGGGCCAAAGCTGAAAATTTGAAATTATTCGCAGGTTCTAATTTTCGCAAATAGTGTAGCTTCCGTAGCGTTCACATATTGCCCGAGTTGTTTGCGGGACGTATTCTTGCGAATTGCAGGCGATTTGCGAAATTCGCGAAAATTAGGTCCTTGCAAAAATTAAGTCGTTTACAGTATTCAGATTCATGGGAGAAAACTACGCTAGAATCAACTTCTATCATTTTTTGAAAGAAGTGTTTCAGCTTCCCTCTAAGCATCTTGAAATCTGCATGCGCGCTCCTAGATAAATTTTGCGAAAAATGTAAAGTTGAACTGGTTGCTACATTATTTTTTCTTGTATGCTCTGGTCAGTGTGGTTGTAGGAAAATGCTTTGTTGCCAATAATTAGTTTGTTGTAGCGTAATTTAAATTGAATATTTTGTGTCTTGGCAAATTTCAGAGGCTTGTTTCTTTCATGTCGCACGTTTTCAGAAAAGTCCTCTCTGACATTCCAGAATCTTTGAGCTTAGTTGTCAGGGATAGTATACTCTGTTTTGTTTTAAACGAGAAAATATTTACAATGATTAGCCCACATTTTTCTGCTCTGAATCCACCCAGACGATAGGTGCATTCCACATGTGAACTGTCAAGTTTGATATCGAACACAGTATCGCGCAGCTGCAGAACCTTCATTTCTGACATTGCCCACGTTTCATTCCCAACCTCGACAATGCCGTAGAAGATAAGATTATTTCTATGGGAGTGATTTCTGAGGTCATTGTGACTGTCTGTGTCTGCCAGCTCGTTCAACTGCTCAGTAAGTGCCGTCGAGGCAATTTGTATTTGCTGCCCTTTGATTTTGAGGGATTTTAGTGAAGTAACATATTTTTCAAGCGATTTTTGCGTTGTAAACACTGACGTAATTTTTTCATCGACTGATGTTTATTTTTTGCTCAGTTGCCTCTAACTCGGTTAAAAGTACATCGTGTGTTTTGCGTATATTCGGCAGTAGCTCCAAAATTTTTAACATTCTGTTTTTTTGCTTTTTAGCTGAAGGGCCTGGGTTCATTTCTACGTTGCCAGAAAGTAGCAGCATCGATTTGATTGTGGTAGATGCTGTCACGTAAACATCGTTCGCCTCAAACTAGCAAATCAGAAGGCAAAGGGGTGTGGCATTGAAAAAAAAGGTGTAGCGGTGAGCAACAGGTTTGTAAACTAGACCAGCCTGAATGAAAATTTGGTGCGAGCAACTTGCTTGAGACTTGTCGGCACCGAGCCAGTACCGACATGTCGCCGACATCGCAGCAAATGTGACCATATTGCGGGCACTATCCGAGACGCATATTCACGCTTGTTCCACAATAACTGTATAAAAAAGCAAATCGCCAATGCTGTGGCGTAGCTGTGTGGTAACTCGCCCGTTTCACCCGCAGCGGACACACGTTCGATTCCCGAGAGCGGAGGGCAACATTTTTTTGAGCAGTTGGCAGTATCGCGACGGACGCCATAAGCCCTGTTGTGCCAGCTGCATCAACAACTGCTACACCTACTACTACTTGTACTACAACTACGACAACGGACGTCATTGGCAGTGGGGGGAAGAGCCCACGACGGCTGTCGCTGTAAAAGAAGCTAACGTTGGTTTTACATTTTGTGATTTCAGAATCTAAAGAGGGCAGGACGACAAGAGAACAGTGCATATAGAATTTGTTTCGTGTTTGTTCTATTTCTTTTCTATTCTGAAGTCGGGAGGATAACGGCCCCTTCACGCAGTACCTCTTCCAGGATACACGAAGCGTCGGCCCAAGCGTACGTCGGACCCTGCAATTTCTCGCATTGTGCCACGCCACCTGGGATAGCTGCGAGACCTTTTGTAATTTTACGGAAGGTATATTACCTTTTGCAGGTGACGAATCTGTAACCTGTGTCACAGCGTGACCGCATTGTCTGGGAATTTTCTTAAAGCGAATATTTTACTCGCGAATTGCTCAGAATTGTAAGATACTGTTAATGAGTTCTTTTGTTAGCCCAAGACCGTCTAGCATTCTTAGTTTTTTGTAGATAGGAAACGGACGGGGTTGTTATCCCACTATTTTTTCTGATTAGCTACATCAAGTTTAGGTTATTTTCTAGGCTTCGAGGATAAGAAATTTTTGGTCACTGCGGAAATCAAATGGCGCCTATCTAACCCGTATCTCTGTTCTGGCAGTTCGGCACTTCTTAGCGATTGGGTGCATCCTTAGCCAGGGCATAGCCTTCTTGGTGGCTTCGGGGCAGAGCACCAAGCGGACTACAAAGTCCGCTTGCCGCGACTGTCGGGATGGCACCTCAAGTTACGAGCATCGCTAACCCGATTTTCCGCAAACGCATCCGCTGTCGACCACATCAAGTTAGTTTCTTCCATTTCTTGCCGGTAGAGAGCTTCGCCTCAAAATTTAGCTAGGGAAAACATTCCACCTAAATACACTTCGGAAGAATGTCTGAGCTTTCTACGTGCAGGCCCCGATTTTTTTTTGCTTTTCTATTTTATTCATTTTTGCTACCCTATTATTTCGGTCTGATTAGAGGACGGTGCGTTTGCTTCGGAGCACGGTTGAACGTGTGGGGCCGACGGGGCGTAACAGCTGGACCAGGTACGGGCAGAGCGTGGCAGCTGGCATCTGTGAGCTGACTTCCACGCTCCCAGACCCCACTGGCAGCTTTTTGTCTGGGTGCTCCGTCCTCTTCGAGACCGTAAATAAAACGGTAGATGGATCGACTGATGCGCTTGCTTGGTCCGGCAGGGGAGAGGACGAGGCTGCGGAGAAGATGCTGAAGCAGGAGAAGTTGGAGCTGACGGACCTGTTCGGGCACTACGGGCCCTTCCAGCGGGTGGTGTTCCTCTTTGCGGTGACCATCAGCATGTTCGGGGCCTACCACAACCTCATCATCACGGCCGTGGCGCCCGACATTGACCACTGGTGCGGCCGGCCGCCGGGGTACGAGAACCTGACGGCGGACGAGTGGAAGACCCTGGCGGTGCCCCGGGAGACGCGGCGGGGCGAGGAACGCTTCAGCCGCTGCCTGGTGCGCAACCTGACCGGTGCCAACGAGACCGGGCCCTGCCAGTTGGGCTGGGAGTACGACCACACCTTCTACAAGAGCACCATCGTCGACGAGGTGGGGCTCCCCTCCAATGTCGCCTCTGACGGCTAATTGTGCCACGGACGTTTGTTTGGGTGCCGGGAGCTCTTGATTTGCTTCATTGAAAAGTAATGAGAACAGTAAATAATGGGGCAGGCTTGCCTCGCATCTAGGTAATGTGCCCGAAGGTTGTATAAAAATTCGAAAGCACAAACACCAAGGAAAAGAAGAGGGGACAGGACAGTTTTTATACAATGTGTAGCCAACTAGCCCAACAGTTAATTTTGCCCGAAGGTTCCATGCGCGCGAGTCAGCACTACCGTAAGCTTCTGAGCATCTGCCCATATACATTGAGTGCCCACCCCTCAATTTTGTAAAATTCAGAAAATACAAAAAGGAGATATCTTTACACATCTTTGACCTAAGGAGCACCTGTCCCCCATTTTTATGCGATTATCTTCAAATATTGAGTGAGTGCACGCTCGGTTTGTTACGGTATATCCCTGCCAATGCTTCTTTAGCTGCAGATAGCGTGTTGAAACTGCGATGTATCTGCCAACAACCGGTCTGCTCAGCAGACTACGAGCACCGCTATTGTGTGTGTTGTCACGAGAGCTGGGCGCAAGTCTCGTGATATAAAAACCGACCGAGCCACAAGCTCGAAAACGCTGTCTGGTTATTTGCTTATCTTAGGCTACATAACAATGGCGACGAGGTAGTGAACAGACAACGCAGGCATCTCTCGACGTCTGTGTGATGCCAACGACCAAGTACAAGCTAGAGTTTCGCGGCACCGAGCGGGCATCGGGACGGAACGGCTAAGCTTATACTTTTAAGCGAATGATGTAACGGTTGACATCAAGAAGAGGGCACTGCTGCCCAGCTTGTGCGGCCCGAAGACCTACGAAACAGCGAGAGCCTTGGTTGCACCTAAGGTACCCGGTGAAGTGGCTTGTGGCAAAATAATGGACATGCTGCACATCCACTTTGACCCGTGATTGTTCAAGCTCTTCAACAGGAGCAAGTTTTGGCGGAGAGACCGGGAGTCGGGCGAATCCATCGGCGATTATGAGGCAGCCCCAGGGACGCTCGCTGTCAATTGCAACTTGGGATTTTTGACAAGCCTCTGCGAGTGCTAGCAGCAGCGAGTCTGCCAACACATCGCATGCACTGCCTCTAGAAATAATGCTTCGGGATAAGTTTGTTTGCTGTATCGTAGAACACCTTCAGCGCCGAATATTTGCTGAACCAAGTCTGACATTCCAAACGGCGTACAACTTTGCAGTTGGGGTAGACAGAGCTGCGAGACATTAAAAAGACATAGAAGCGCAGACGAAAACTGTGAATGCCATGACCGAAGATCGAAAGCCAACGTCGGCGGTCAACGGGAATTCACGAGACAAGTAGGGTCGATCGTCAAGTAAACGACGCCACCGCTGCCACGAAAAAGACTCTACAGCCACATGCAGGTTCTGCACGTCACGCTGCAACTTTTGTTGGAGGATTGGAGACAACGAAAAGGTGCGTCACAAGAAGTCACGAGCGAGTCAACGATGATGTACTCGCGCAGTGAGTCGTGATGAGTCGACATCTTCGACCGATAGCGAAGATACGTAGACCTCCGCAAGCTGAACAACGTACTGTGCAATGCACCGGTTAAGAAATACCTAATCTCCCTCAAAGTTGAAGGAAGACTCGTGAAGTTTGAAGTGGATTCAGGAGCCGCATGTTCCATCATCAGTGAGGAGACGTTTCAAAAGATCTGGCCAAAGAATGACCCTTCACCGTACGAGGAAAATCCGACGCTTTGGCCATGATCTGAAAAAGAACTCCAAGTGCTCGGATTGAGAGAAGCGTGAGTTCGGCTCTAAACGAAAGACTGTCTGCTTCCGCTAATTCTTGGCCTCGGGTTTGGGTTGCAGTTTTGCTTGGAAGAAATTGGTTTCCGGCACTAAATGTTTGAGTGACCGGGATTTACCATCTAGATGAAGGCAAGACTCTACAAGATATGTTGTTGGCACACGAGAAAGTTTTCGACACGGACCTCGACGGGCACAAGGGGCACTCCCGGTGCATCTGGGAGCTGAAGCAGAATGTAGCAGCACGTTTCTTGAAGACAGTGCCGGTTCCCTTCGCACACCACAGTGGAGGCAGAACTCTGGGGGCTTCAAAGCCAAGGCATAATCGAGCCGACACAACACTCCAACTGGGACACAACAGTAGTGGTCGTAAGAAAAAGAGGGGGCACTATCCGGACGTACGGAGACCCGAGGAGCACAGTGAGGGCGATGCCAGTGGCACGTCCGACAGTAGCAGAGCTGCATGCAGGGGGCACCACCTTTTTGATGCTGGACCTCACCCGAGCTTACCAACAGCTGCATATGGCATCGGAGACAGCAGATGTGCTCACCATGAATGCCATCAAGGGGCTATGCATAGTTAGGAATTTCGGCCACCTCGGCGGTTTTCAAGTGCTACATGGGGCCAGCCCTAGCAGGCCTTCTTGGTGTGAGAGTTTACCTGGATGATGTCATCATCAGTGGAACCACGGAAAGAAAGCACCTAGAACGCCTTAAAGCAGTTCTCAGCAAGCTGGTCAACGCTGGACTTGGTTTAAAAAGGTCACGAGTGCCATTTTGGGCTGGAAAAAGTTGTGTTTTGTTGGGAAAAATGCACCTGGAAGACACACCACAGAAGAAAAACTCGAGGCAATCGGAGAGATGCCAGAACCAACCTGTCATCAAGCCATGCTCCAGTCATTTCTAAAGCTCTTGGCATTCTACGACTGTTTCATCCAGAATCGAGCCTCGATAGCCGAGATTCTGTACACGTTACTGGAAAAAGATGCACCATGGGATGCCCGGCGTCACCAGGGGTTCATGAAACTCAAACAAGCCATCGCGGAATGCACAGTTCTGATGCATTATGATGATAACGAGCCGCTGATATTATTGTGCAATCCGTCACCATACGGCGTTGGTGCTGTGCGTTTGGGCAAGGAGGGAAACAAAGCTCCTGTGGCGGTAATTTCTGGAATGCTGGGGAAAGTCAGAAAAAAACTACTCTCGGTTGAACAAAGAAGGATTAGCAGCAGTACATGCCGCAAGTCAATTTCACAACTGCATTTCCGGTCGACACGCGACCATCACGACGAATCACCAACCACTGTTGGTCATCTCCACCAACAGATGACCTTGAGTTTGAGACTATATAAGGAAGTGGACTAAATAAACCAGTTAGCTGAGTTTGAGACGTCGTCCTGTCTATTTTCTGTCCCTTCTACGTTTTGATGTTTCTTCTCTACCCCAGTCTCAGGTTAATTCAACAAGGTTAATATTCGCCAGCTCGCCTGCACCCTCACGACTTTTTCTCTGTATCTCTGTATGTTCTTCTCTTTATGCTTTAAACCTGCAAAGAGGTTCTCGAGGTAACTTGAGAACGCTTCGCACCTGCATTGCTTTTGCGTAGGTGTTCCATTCTAGTTGACAAAACCGACTCCCTTTTGGGGCATTGTTTACAAGTAATCGCGGCCCCTGGCTTTTGAAGGTGACACTGTGTCGGTGGGAAGGAGGAGGGCAGTTTCTGGTGGCTGGCAGATAAGGAAATGGCGGGAAAAACTGCCCAAGCTCCCAGCCTTGGGGCCTCCCCACTGCCCACCTTCGCTCATTTAGGGCCAGTTGGTTGAGTTTGTTCTATGGGAAGTGGGCTGGGAGCATTTGGGGAGGGCAGCCCCTCGAGCCGTGGCCCTTGTCCTGCAGTGGGACCTGGTGTGCTCTCGGAGCTGGCTGGTGTCCCTGAGCCAGTCGGTGTACATGGCGGGCTACATGACCTCCATGATCGTCTTCGGACAGCTGTCGGATAGGTGGGTCCCCTTGCTTCTCTGCGAGTGTTGTCTCCTGCGACCGAGCGGCGTGTGCACCGTCGGGCCGGGAATTTTATACAATCCCAGCATCACGGAGGCCGGTGATCTGTTCATAAATTGGGGAATGTTGTAAAAACTCTCTGGGTAGAAATTGAGCAAATTTGGTTGTGTTGTCCGAATGCCAAGAAAAACGTAAAACTGCCTTGGCTCGTTCGCACGCTTGATTTGGGTCGGTCCCTTTCTGGGAGAAAGTGGAAAGGCACGCTCACTGGGCTGGTAGAGGGGAACTCCGCCGGTTTTCTGAGCCGTCAAGGGTAAGTCGTGAAAGTTGGTCGTCTTTAGAGTGCTGTTTGCTTTCTCTAAATCTTCTGAATAAAAAAGAGCTTTACATAAACGTGACTCCAAAGCCGAACTTGCGTCTTCCATGGAACTGTTGAAAACCCCGAGACACAAAAGAGAGCAGACAACGCAATGTCTCAGAGACTGCCCTTTCTTTCTTTCAAATTTCCCCGCTAAATTTGGCGGGAAAATTTCCACGCTAAATTTAGCATTAAAATTTCCCGTCCTAATTTAGTGTAACAAATTCCCTGTTAAATTTAGTGGAAAAATTTTCCCGCTAAATCTAGCAGAAAAAATTGCCTGCAAAATTTAGCGGAAAAACTTCCCCGCTAAATCTGGCGGGAAATATCTCCCGCCAAATGGAGCGGAACAATTTCCCTGCCAAGTTTAATGGAAAAATATTTGCGCTAAATTTAGCGGAATAATTTCCCTGATAAAGTTAGCGGAAAAATTTCCCCGCTAAATTTGGCGGAAAAATTTCCCCACTAGATTTTGCAAAACAAAAATTTCCCGCCAAATCTAGCGGAAAAATTTCCCCCCTTGATTTAGCGGGAGATTTAGTGAAAATTTCCGGCTAAATGGGAGGGGAGCAGAAAAGGAGGAGGGGCATAACCTCCCCTCCTCCTCGAGAGCTGCGCTCTAATTTCGCATTACAGAGGATGGTAAACATATTTCATCTTTCTAATGTACCTTTTCTCAGCCACAAAACATAAGATGCCCATTTCATTTGGTACATACCTTCCACATATTACTGGCTTTAGACTGTACCTAAAGAAAATAAGTTTGAGCATAGTGCGAGGAAAAAAAAAAGATTGTTTTTGTCATGAGTCAACTTTTTATTTTATTTTGTTTTAAATGTAATAGTGTAGTGAATCCTGGAAGCTTGTAGGTTCAAGTTGTTGGAGAGGTATTTAAGCTGTAAAAGCATTATTGTAATCGGTTAGGTAGTTTCTTAGCAAAGGCACATCAAAGTTTAGAAAGTTGCAAAAATGTCACTGCCAAAAACGCAAATGTATTTTTTCATATTTGTCACAAAGGTTCAAAAAAACTTTGGCAGAATACATGTCCCTTCTTACTGTTTTTTTACCCTCCCCAAAGCCTTTTTTCGTGTTCCTCTTCCTTCTGCGTCATTCCTTACTTTCCCTATAAAAAGTAAGAAATTAATATTGCGAAAGCGTTAGGCCTTTGAGGTATTAATAAATAAATATAAGCAGACACGCGCATCTACCAGTTGTAGGTACCTGGGTGTGCATATTTCGGCGTCATATTTAAATGGCTCGGAGCGTTTGTTTGTGCTCGCCGCTTCCTGGTTTTGTTCCTCAAATTCCATACAAGTATTTTGCATTAAAAAAATGGATTTTTTGGTCGGTTTACCCTATTTTCCCCCCTTCAGTTTTTCAGGCAGTCAAGAGGTGAGCATTGCGTGGCTTTCTTGGGGTGCGATCCGTGTGGGGTGCCGTCGGCTCCGACTTGACTCCTGGGACATGGACGGCTGGGAATATGGAGGGATTTACCGGCGGTTTGAAATTGTGCGCCGTAGTCGTAAAAAAACCCCGCAAACCATTTTATTTTCACGCTCGAGTCGGCACTTGATTGGCGGATGAAAAGCGGGCGGAGTTCCCCTCAGAGCCGGCGGAAGGAGGCAGCACTGGCTGGGTGCAGTGCGTTTGTTGTCCGTGCGATTGACTGTGCAACTTTGTTTCCTTGCAGAGTGGGCAGAAGGACAGTCATTTGTGTGGCCTTGTCCGTCCTTCTCGTTGCAGGCTTCTCGACGCTCCTCTCGCAGAGCTTCGTTGCATTCATAAGCCTCCGCTACTTTGTCTCCCTCGGGGTTTCCGGCGTTGGCTCCACCTCCTTTGTGCTGCGTAGGCATTTCTCTTTTTTGGCAATGTCGGGGCGGGGAGGCGGTCTCTGGAGCCTGGGCTCTTGCAGTCATGGAGGTGGTGGGGCCCGACCTGAGGTCCTTCTTTGGCCTGGCCTACGAGTTTGGCTGGGCCACGGGCTACCTGGTGCTGGCCCTGGTGGCCTACCTCATCAAGAGCTGGTTCTACGTCCAGCTGGTGGCCATGGTCTCTGCGCTGGTCCTCGTCGTCGGCTTCTGGTGAGCCTCTCTTGGACGCCCCTCGGAGCTCGCCCAACGGAGAGCCCCGTGCAGGATCCTCCCAGAGTCCCCTCGCTGGCTCATGGCCAACAAGAAGTTTGAGCAAGCCCGGTCGCTCATCATGGAGGCCGTGGAGAGGAACGAGAAGGACAAGGAGGAGGCGGAGCAGAAGTTTGAGCTCCTCAAGGTGGAGTTTGAGAAGGTGGGTGGCCTGCCTCCCGTCGGGGGAACTGGTGCCAGCGTGTCCCTCCCCAGGAGCAGCCCAAGAACGTCTTCGGCAAGGTGACAGTCTTCGACCTGCTCAAGTCGCCCGTGCTGCGCAAGCGGACGCTCATACTCTTCTGCTGCTGGTGAGTGCAGCCTGCAGACTCGGAGGGTAGTTGCCACCAGGCGTGACGTTACCTGGTAGCTACTGGGTGTGGGCTTTCGGCTAGGTTTGAGAACAAAAAGCGATTGAATGCTCGAGGGAGTGAATACCGGAGATTGGAATAGACCCGTTGCAATACATATAGTGCCAAGATGGCAGGGGATTTTGGGGAACCTCGGAAAAATCGCACACTTTCTCTTTGCGTCTCTGCGACTGTGCCTGAGTCGCGGCAACTGCCGCCAGCAACCATGGTTGCGATCATGAACCTAACCCAAAACGATAGCTGTGGCAGCGTAAACGCATCGCGGCGGGTGAAGCTACTGACTTATTTGAATGCGTAATGCGTCGCGACTTACCTCCACGTCTTGCAGTGTCACTGGGTCTACTTATTTTGCACCGCGATCGGGGCAGGGTTGGACTAGGTTCGACAAAGCGTTAATGTAGCCGACGATGTAGTCAGTACAAGGGAGAGGGACGAGAAATGGGCAGCCTCGCAAGCTAGCCAACGCGATATCCTTTCCCCATTTCAATGCGCTCGTTCAGCTCGGCTGTCAGAGCGTTGTTGCCTCGGTAACCTGCGCCTGCTCGCATATGTCACGTGGTAGCGGGAGAAAAGACCAAGAGACGTAAAATTTTTAAAATCTGAGATAAGCCCACCAACCTGACTTGCACTTTGCGTTTCTTATCTTTCCTTCTTCCCCCTTCCTCCTCCTGGGTATAGTCGGCTGCTCGCTGTTGAAAGTTTACTCGTCTGTTGCTAGTTGAAAGATGTGGTTGTGTTGTCCCTGTTTTAATTGTTTTATTCTTTCTTCATCCATGACGTAAAATCCCAAAAGGCCGTGTGTGCCGCGTGACGAATAATGGGATTCCTCAGTATGCCCCGTACCAAGGACTCCCATTATTTGTCGTGCGGCGCACATGGCCTTTTGGGATTTTTGCAAAGGCTCTCTTAAATGAGGCATCATTCCCCGCCATTTACGATGTATATGCACTGGCGACCAAACTCTGCTCGAGAGTGGATGAGATTGGCAGCCAGTTGAAATCCTGTTTGGAATCGCACTTTAAAGCCCAACGAACACAAAGAAGGCAGGAAACCAACCCCGCAATTCCTCCGTTCTGCAGGGCTCAGAAACTGCTCGTTTTGTTAGAGGGAGGCGGGGACACTGGAGAAACGGCCTGGCAGAATCTGGAGGTTGGAACACGAGCGCCACAATAGGTTCCCGTTATTCTGCAGCGGAATGCGACATTTCTTGTTGTCCAGGCACCACACGACCGCACTCTCTGCTGGCACGCCGAGTTTCAAGTGCAATTCCGTCGCACAGAAGTCGACGACTCCGTTCATGACTCGACTTTCACTCAATTGTGAGATGGATTGGAGCGTTTTTAAGGCAACCAACCGAGACTCAGTCGGCAGTGTTCTCATCAAGCTTCACCATCTTGCCTGCACTTGAGGAATTTTTGTTTTTCTCAAAAAGCTTGCGCGGTGAAATAAAAATAAAAAGGCAGATTTCTCGCTGCTTAAATATTAGCCCCCAGAAGAGGGAATGCTGCCACCTGGTGGCTTCTTGTCATGACGTAGTACCAAGTATCATGTGACCGCGTTTGCGCTTTGTTGGTAGCGTGAAGGTTGAGGTGTATCGCTCACAATTCATGTTGGATTGGTTAATTTGAACCAGAGTTGGGGGTCACATGTGACCTAATCCTTTCGCCGTACTTCTCGTCAAAATTAAGATCGAGCAGCGCGACAACAGTGACCCAGTTTCATGTTATCGTACTCACCGTGACAAAATCTGTCGTCGTTGTGGCTTCGGAGGCTTGTCATGCAACCAAACGGGTAGATTCTGGGTCAGCATAATTTCCGGAATGAGTTTTTTTTTTGGCCTGTCGGAAATGGGCAGGCAAAGAAAAAAAAAGACGACCAATCACAACGAGGGCCGAGCAGGCGTTGAATTTGTTACCGATCGCCGATTTTTTCGCAGTTTGCTCGTGGGGTTTTAGAGAGAGGCACGAAAAATAAAGTGTACCTACTACAGGGTACAAAGGTAATCCATAATGCGTTTATTTGAGCTTTGCATCGAAGAAACCAGCAAATAGAATTGACGAGCGTATCAGTGCGACGAGAGCATCCACCACTTCCGCACAACACTCCAAAAATGACAAAAGGACGACGAAGAGAGAAGGCTCGGCCTCTAACCGGATGTAGGTCAAGGTTCAGACCACTCCTACAAAATAACTTCACTTAAAAAAAAAAAAAAGGGTTGCACGTGGTAGGCAGCAACCCTTTTTGTGCTTGGCCTTCCCACCGACTTGAGGTGCTGCTGAAGTCCTTAGGATTGTTGTCGTTGCTTCCGGAACCCGTGAATCGAGCGTTTCTTTTTGTTTGCTGCTTGAGTTTGGAAGCGCGCAAAAGAGCGCGTAGAAGGATGCTCGTCGGTTTCCACGGCAAAGTACCCGGGCGGTGTTGGTGGCCACTAAGGTACGGTAGGATTCCATCATAACTTGCGCGCAGCTTACGATTGCTTTGCTTCGTGTATTCGAGTTTGTTTTTAGGTTTTGTCCTACGCACATTTTGCGCGACTGCAAAAGCAAAATTAGCTCGGTGAACAGTTTCTGCTGCTGCATGCGAAAGTGCACAACCAAAGCGAAGCAAAGAACTGGCCTCATCACACGATACTTTTCACTGCATCACCACCGAGCTATCGCGGCGCTCCAGTCAGTCTCGCTCGGGGCTAATAGTGCTTTAAAAAATGAAGAAGCCAGTTTTACACATACGTTTGTCGGTATGATTGGGATAGTTCAGTGGCAGGTCAGTCGAGCGGATACCAGAGATTACTACGGTACCGACGTGGACGGGCTTGGATTCATCCGAACAAATCCGCTCGGTCCATTTCGTCCTCGCCGGTCCATCCAAAGTAAATCCGACCCTTTCCAGCTCACCAATAGCCGCCTCTCGCGCTTCTGACGGCGTCCGCACATTTCGTACGACGTCCGCTCCCTCGCCACCAAAGTGTCCCCCAAAAATATTACGGAGATTTTTAGCCACTCAAATAAACGATGCATTGCCGTACGTTGGGCCTCCACGCAAATGTAGCTCTAGCAGTCTGTACCAAATGGTTTCGGAACTAACCGTTATGCCAGTCGAGAGTTCCGAGTAATTTTCTAAAAATTATATGAGAAAATGGCTCTCGGTGACTGGCACTATTTCGGCTCGATGCGTTCGAGGGCTCCATCGACCACTATTTTGGGCGTCCGGTTTGGTTTGGTGGCGCTACATTTTGGCGGAAAATGAGCGTTGGGTGATGCATAGTTTGTTTCCGGTAAACTTTTTTGGGGGGCTGCCCCGCGGCAGTTTTGGTGGCACCGACCAGCACGTACGAGGTTGTCGCTCTCCGGCAGGTTTGTCAACTCGTTCACGTACTACGCCATGTCGCTGAACACCAACGACCTCGGGGGCAACCCCTACCTCAACTTCGCCATTGCCGGGGCCGTGGAGTTCCCGGCCTACGCCATCTCGATCGTGATCATCAAGCGCATTGGGCGCCGCATCTCCCAGTGCGGCTGCATGGTCCTGGCGGGCTGCTCCTGCCTCCTCACCATCTTCTTCTCGGGGCGTGAGTGACTCCCTCTTCTGCCGCACTCCTTTCTCGCTGGTAACTTGGCCGCTTTCCGCCCTAATGAGTATCGTCCCCACGAGTGGCGCTGGTTTGTGTAGAAGTAAAAATTAAAGAAATTACGAGTTTTAAGATCAGGAAACTCCTCACAATCTTTTGAAAGCAGATGTATGTGGCACCCTTTACGTTGAGTATCAATTATTACGAAATAATGCGGCCCTTTAGTACGAATGCGGTTTTTGATCGGTAATCTTTTCGAAGGGTCCGTAGGCCTCTGTGAGAGAACAGATGCGTGTGGCAACCACGGTGTCTTCTTGGAGCCCACCGTGCATCTCTTGGGTTGTTTGAGCGATCCGATCGGTTGACTTCTAATGTCGGCGGTGCACTTCTGGTACTATCCCCGGGGAAAGCTTTTTCATAGCGCGACTCGAAGGTACCCGATCAGGTAATCTAAGGACCGCGGATGCACCTGCTGGCAGTTGTCTGGCATAGCTTGCTGCGTTTGTTTGCTCGGTTTGTGACCCTCTTTGAGCAGGGTTGAAAATGCCCAGAATGTGCCCCTAGAAAAACCAGTCTAGGATTTCAGATTTTTGTGTGCCGCCAAGCGCACCTTCCTCTCCTCCACCTCGCACATTTACTGCGCTGCTCGGTATCTCCTTCGTTCCATCCTCCCAAATTGCAGATATTTCCTTGACTCTCTGTAACATGAAAAAAGAATGCCGCGATAGTTTCTTTCTTTAGTGGATGGCAAACAATAACAGTTCGCATGCAAGTTTGATTTCTTTGGCTCTTATTCCGCAGTCTATCCACACAGTGTCTAAAATACGTAACTTCCGGTGCCAATTGTGGCAAACGCTCGTGCACGTTTTTGCTGGTTTTCTGAGTGCGAAGACTACCACTTTAGTTTTTTCTGACGAGGGTAGAAAGTTGGGCAAGTTGGTGATTCATAATGATTAAAAAGCGCAACAAGACTACGGACAAACAAGGAGGAGATGCAGACAGAGCGTTTTTTCTTCCTTACCATCCAAGAAGTGTACAGCAGGCCCAGAGTGTTCGAGGGTTGGGAGGATGCTGGACGGAGGCCTTTCTATGCAGAGACCCTGTGGCTGAAGATTGCCTTTGCCATGCTGGGCAAGTTCCTGATCACGGCCTCGTACGGCATCCTGTACGTCTATTCGGCCGAGATCTACCCCACGGTGGTGCGCAACGTGGGCATGGGCTCAAGCTCCACCATTGCCCGGCTGGGGGCCATCATCGCCCCCTTCGTCAAGGAGCTGGTGAGAGCTCTGCCTTTCCCCCGACCCGAGGTTTGTGCGGACATTGCGTGCAGCTGCCAGCGGTGCCACCAAGCGACTCTTGGATAAGCGGCTGGTTTCCCATCTTAGGAGAATGCTTGTTTTTGAGGTTGTGCAGAACTTGGCGCTATGCGTGTTGCTTAGACACACCTCTGTCTCTGTCATTGACCCTGGTTTGGTGCCTCTAAGGCAGCTTTTATGAGCTCATTGAACCAGATAGATATCTGGCACTACATTCGCGTCCGTGGAGGACAGAGCACACGTGTCGAGCGGAGAGCGCACGTGCAGAGGTGCCGTGGGAATGAGAACACTGTTTATTTCCTCACTTGAGAGTGCACCTATTCAACTTTATCTGGTTGATTCTGTCGCGGCGTTCAGCGTGCCGTGCGCCCACACCCATATATGTGTTACACCGGCAACCAATGACGTTGCAGCGGCAGCCAATGATGTTGCAGAAGCCGCCCTCACGATGCCGTCGGAATTGTGGCCGGCGGCGATGCGATGCTCGGCCACAAACTGAGCCTTTAGGACGCGGTCGACGTAGGAAACGCGTTGCCGTCGGGTTTCCAAGCCCGGCCGGTGCAACGAAGCTTTCTTTGCAGGGGCACGCGACCCACGAGAATGTGCCGTTCGGGGTGTACGGCACCATCTGCATCCTGAGCGGCCTGTCGGTGCTGCTGCTGCCGGAGACCCGGGACGCCCAGCTGCCGGACACCCTGCTCGAGGGCGAGGCCTTCCAGATGTACGGCACGCTCTATGGGCCAGCGGAGGGTCGGAGGGGGACGCAGTCGGTCGTAGAGCGCTCGTTGGCGCGACTGCCGACGATCGAGTGGGTTACGACCTCTCGGCGGTCGCAATGCACTGGCGCCGTCTGTAGGGAAACGCCCTGTATTTCCTTCTTTTGCTCGCGCATCTCTTCCTTTGGCTCGGAAAACTTGACGTTAAAATGACCATTTACGTTTGATCTACCGCAAATCCTCTGCTCCAGTGAAATTCAGGTGGCACCGGTGTGCCAGCGTTATGAGATATCGCGAGAGGTCCTAAGGCGCTTGGTGGTAAGCGGTCGCGAGTGTGTAAATCAGCCTTTGGAAGAGTGAACTGTTGCGCTGCCACTGGCCTCTAGGGGTGACTGCAGATGCGCCCCGAGTTCAGCCATGCTGCTGGCTGCAGTCGGTAGACATCCCGAGAGAAACGGAGAGGATGGGAGAATGACGAGCAAGGCAACTTGAGCTGGGGCGAAGCTACCATAGAGAGTTCTATATGACGATTAAATTAAGCACCGTGCACGTCCTGGGCACCCCTCGTACGCATTCGTACGGCGCTTGGACGCCTTAGAAATGGCCCTGCTAAAAATCTTACTCGCATTGACGCCCCAAGTCCGTATCACTAAGACGTAAAAGAGGAATTTGTAAGGCGCACGCAAGTCCTTATGCATTCCCTCTCTGCGTCCTCGTGCATTATTTGTCTCGTTATATCTACCGTCTACCGGTTTGCCCGTCTTACCGACCTGCTCGACGTACAAGCTACGGGTGGATGGATGCCAACAGCTGTACCCTTTATAACGGGTGATAGCTTGCACCACCTAGCCGAGAAATTGAGAACCAAAAGTACAGTAGACGCATTAATTCCAGCTCTATTAATTCAAACTTGCAGATAATTCAAACTAACATGCGGGTCCCATCCTATGCATTTGTGGGAGGAAACTCCCAGTAATTCAGACTTTGCTTTATTCAAACAAATTTTCTGGAGTTTGATTTAACGAGATTTGGCTGTATGATTTTTTTCCTTCGCTAATTTGCTTGCTTTCTTCAATTTCGTAACTATCACCAGGCGGTGTGGGATATCACCAGGATGACCTCTGTAGGATTGCACAAAAAAAACAAAGAAACTTCCCCGCCTCTTCTTATTAGCGAGGGAGTCGCCAATTTTTCTGTTAGTCGGCGTTACCCGAACCCGCTGGGAGACAGGGAGGATGCTTCGGGCCAGACCCACGCGGGAGGGAGTTGCGATTTTCCTCTACCCCACCTGTTCCCAGCTGTGTCAGTTCTGCGGCATTCAATTCTCCATAGTTTCCACCAGTTTTCTAATCTTCTCTCGGTTATTAAAATGCACTTATCATTCACTGTCGCCTGCAAACCCCAGCGCTGCGGCCAAATCCGTCTCCCCCTTCCCGTGCACCTCGACCCCACGTGTCCTCTCTTGTCTTCCACTTGGCATACAGCACACTGCGTGTCCATTTTCTCAAACGGTCCCCAGTCCTCAATACAGTGAACTTTCATTAATTCGATCTCTATGGGAACTTGAAGTTTGGTCAAATTATCCGAATGATCGAATTAAAAAAAAAAGGAAAAAAACAAATTAAACTTCTTTTTAATGTCCAAAGTACTCACGGATGGTCTGATGCCGTTGGTGCTTAAAACGCGTGTCCAAAAGCGGGCTTTAGAGAGCAGCGTAACTAAACGTCACAGCCCCGGAAAATCGCACAATAAAAAAAAAAATAAAACGAAAAAAGTAAGTTTTACGAGCCGACTTAGGCGCCGAGCCAAAGTCTGCTCTTCCGTAATTATCGTACCAATGTTCCTTCTGTACTTTCTGTTTCCGTCCCCTGTACATAGTTAAAAAGCTGATTTTCCCTGCATTCTTTCTCTTGGCTTCTTTTACTTTCTCTTCTACTGAGGTAGTCTGCTCTGCCCCAGCTTTTGACTTTGAATATTTGAATTTCAGTTCTCGGGTTTGGTTTGTCCATTTAGTGTTCGCACCTTTCATGTATGCATGCTTATACAGCTTTCTCGTCCACCGTGTATCCTCAATTGTGTCTAGCCTTTGTTCAAATTCCAACTTACTGGTCGCCTGTCCAGCCTCGATAGATGCCCAGCCCAAGTCTCCCTGCACTTCTTCATTCGGTCTATTCCCACGTGCCCTAGAGTACCAGTCTGCCCACGCGCCTCTGCCAAGTCTCTAAACTCGACTGGCCCTCAGATTTCACGCATAATACCGCATTGCCAAAAGACAACTTCGGCACCACGACTCCCTTCCATATTCCACTGAGAACTTTATTATAATTCCCATAGTGTCCTAAGCTATCATAACTGCTGCATTCCTTTTTCCTTTCTTTAGCATAATTTCTTTCTGTTCTTCTAAGTATTGTTTTCCCTCATTCAGCCATACTCCCAGGTATTTATGCTTCTCTGCGTGTTCTATTGAGGCATATTGAATGTCCCAGTAGGTCCCCCTTCTCATCGTTATAAGCCATTATTCCCGACTCGTTGCTACTGAATTTCAGGCCCAGAGAGTCTCCTTCCTTTCCACAGAATCAGCTTCTGTAGCCTATCCCGGCTATCTGCTGACAGTACGTCGTCTGCATGGAACATTTCTGGTATAACGTTGTTTACTTTTTTCTCCTCTCTCTTCATATGTCACAAATCCAAACCTAAATTGCACTCTTCTCCTTTATTTCCGATTTTACTCAGGTATATCTCTAGTTGTGCCAATATTCAAAGATGGGTCGGCACTAACTGTCACTAATTATCGTCCAATTTCACTGATCTGTTCGTTTGCCAAGGTGTTCGAAAAGGCCATGCATTGTCATATCATGCATTTTTTTTCCAGACGTATAAACGTGCAACAACATGGTTTTATGCCAAATCGTTCTGTGGAAACAAACTTAATAGCGTTTACGGAATTTGTGGGTGCCAAACTAGGGTCGAAGCAGCAGGTCGACGCAATTTACTTTGATTTTAAAAAAGCATTTGACCTAGTGAGCCATTCACTGCTAGTTAAGCAACTTGCGTCCTATGGTATCTCCTTACCACTTTGCGAATGGATTCAGAGCTATCTGCATGACAGATGGAATTCTGTTTCATACGGTGGTGCACAATCAACCGCGTACCTCTCCAAATCGGGAGTCCCGCAGGGTTCTAGCCTATCGCCTCTGCTTTTCAACATCTTCGTGAACGATATTTGCTCATGCATAAATCACTCGGAAATGTTACAATTTGCCGATGACGTTAAGCTTTTCCGAGCTATTGTGGACATTTCTGAGTGCAATAAACTACAGCAAGATATTACAGCATTGGCAGACTGGTGCAAGGACAACAAGTTGGTTCTCAACCCTGCTAAAACAAAAGTCATATCTTTTTCAAGAAAACATTTCTTTAACACCTTTGACTACACTTTGAACAAGTGCTCGATTGAGCGCGTCTCAGTTGTACGTGATCTAGGAGTTTTCTTGGACAGTGAATTTAAATTCTCTGATCATGTGGCATACTTGAGCAATACATGTTACCGTACTTTGGGCGCAATTACCAGAATGACTCGAAACTTTAGAGGATATTCTTGCTTTTTGCATTTGTACCGATCCCTCATCCTGTCTAAACTGGATTTCTCTAGCGTTGTTTGGAATCGTTTAAACCAGACAAACTCGAATGAACTTGAAAATGTACAGAAGAAGTTTGTTCGACTACTTTACGATCGTTATTTTAACAGGCGAATTTATTTAGGCCATGAGCGATTGTTGAAGATTTTAAACCTGCATTGCCTCTCCGAAAGGAGGCAGGCACGAGACTTTTTATTTTTACACAAATGTCTTCACGGTTTCATAGATTGCCCCAAGCTAACCTCATCCGTACTCATTGCTGTACCTGGCAGGTCTCTTCGCTCCCATCGTGTTTTCGGTTCCTCTGATCCAAAAAGCTTAAGACCCATGGAGCGTATCCAGTATAATTTTAACATGTCAAATGTCGCAAACACGCTCGAAGTAGACATCTTTTTGCGGGAAAGTTTTAGTTTGCGGTCTCTGCTAGTGCTTTTATAATGTGACGCCCTCTTGTATCAGTCTTTTTAATTAAAATAAGTACACCGACTTGACATAACAGAAAAAACAACTTCATTAGACGTTTCGCCTCCCATGCGGGAGGCATCATCAGTAGTTACACAGCAAATGCAGGGTTCAACCTAAACACAACGCTATTTATCACGAATGTCCGTGTAAGCTTCGTGGAGAGGGCCGCGGTTTTTGTTGCACACGGATGTGTCCCTGCGAAGAAACCACGATTCTAGAAGCTTTCGGGGCCCCCATCTGTCCTCTCTCGCCAAGGTCGTCGCGGCCGGAAAGTCGAAAGAATGCCCCATTGTCCACGCATGGTCCACCAGTTCAGTCTTCAGTCGCGTCGCGTGGGATGCGTACGTGACGTCACGCTTGTGTTCTTTGAGTCTGGTATCTCTCCTCCGTCCGGTTTCACCAATGTAGGACGCTGGGCAGTCACTGCAGGGGATCTTGTAGATAACGCCTCTTTGGACGTTCGCCGGGGTTGGGTCCTTTGGTTTGGAAACGGAATTTCCAATAGTTCTGTATGGCTTGAAAACAGTTCGGATGCCAAGGGGCCTCAAAGCGCGACTAAGAGGTTCGGAGACTCCTTTGACATACAGTCATACAGAACTATTGGAAATTCCGTTTCCAAACCAAAGGACCCAACCCCGGCGAACGTCCAAAGAGGCGTTATCTACAAGATCCCCTGCAGTGACTGCCCAGCGTCCTACATTGGTGAAACCGGACGGAGGAGAGATACCAGACTCAAAGAACACAAGCGTGACGTCACGTACGCATCCCACGCGACGCGACTGAAGACTGAACTGGTGGACCATGCGTGGACAATGGGGCATTCTTTCGACTTTCCGGCCGCGACGACCTTGGCGAGAGAGGACAGATGGGGGCCCCGAAAGCTTCTAGAATCGTGGTTTCTTCGCAGGGACACATCCGTGTGCAACAAAAACCGCGGCCCTCTCCACGAAGCTTACACGGACATTCGTGATAAATAGCGTTGTGTTTAGGTTGAACCCTGCATTTGCTGTGTAACTACTGATGATGCCTCCCGCATGGGAGGCGAAACGTCTAATGAAGTTGTTTTTTCTGTTATGTCAAGTCGGTGTACTTATTTTAATTATGACGTCTCCCGGCTTTTGGAGTATTTTTGCATCAGTCTTTTTGGCAAACAGTGTTGTTTTCAACTTTATCCACTTTTCTCATTTACATTTATATTTCACGTTTTTGTTTGTTCAAATTATGTATGCGTTTGCGTGCATCTTTTTTATGCAAAACTGCATGTAGGTGTCAACGGTGCACCCTTATGTAGGCCTATGGGCTGTTTAGGGGCACCGGAAAAGTACAATAAATAAATAAATAAATATCATAAAAAGTAGAGGTATCAAGGACAGTCGTGACCGAGTCCTCTTTTTATTTCTGCCGGTTCTGTTATATCTGCTTCCCACATTATAAAACCTTATTATTTGCGTATACCCTACCAAATTCAAATTTAGATGCAAATTCGATTAGGCGGAAAAGCCTAATCGAATTTGCATCTAAATCATACTCTCTCAGCTGTACCCAGTTTTTCCTGACTCACATTGTCGTACGCCCCTTTAATGTCCAGAAATGCAATCGATGATGGTTTTTTACTCATCCGTGCCACCTCCATACATAGAGTGATGATCACACTTTGAACAGAGCTCACACTTTCGAGTACCCCTAGCCGGCCCAGAACGACCTTTCTGGCCAAGCCCATCGAACGAGAAAACCTCTGAGAACAAAAGACACGTTACTCTCCACGCTATTTCGCACCTTCACATTGAAACCTAACTTTCCAAAAATTTTTGCATACTCAAAAAAAGAACAAAAAAATAAAACATGCACACACATGAATAAGTTATCATCTAATCTTTTATCTCTTCGGAAGCCGTTGTCTAGCTCACCTAATGTTTTCTGCCCATTCTTCTTACTGACTGCATTGTTAGTCTGTAGGGGACCAAAGTTACTGTTATTAAACGGTATGATGTTATGCTATCCTTATTTTCCTTGCCTTTATATGCAATCTCATTCCGCTTAGTTTTGAATCATTGGGTACCTCTCCCCCATTATTATTTGACCAGTTGCCTGTCTTAACTTTAGTTTGTTCTTTGTTCCTACTGTCTTGACTAGTCTCATTCTAATGCCATGTAAGCCTGTCGTTGTTCTAGCAGGTACTTTCTGCTCTGTTCCATTCCCCCCTGGTTGTCTCAGTGTCTCGTTAGTGTTCTTGTCTTGCGCCGCATTGCTGTTTGTGTTCCGTCCAATCTCATTCGGTTCAAGTTCTGCGAGCGTTGCCTCGGTTGTTCGTCTAATATAAATTCCCTCGCTACCTTGCCCAAGTTCTAAGTTAAGCGTGGTGCAAACCGATGACGGCTGTCGGATCAGACATCCGATTTCGGCAAGAAAACCGCTCCGGAGAGTAGGAAGCATCACGTTTCGTTCCGATGCCTTCCCATTTTGGACGAATGCCATGCTTGGCTGGCCTTGTCTGATGGGAGTCACGAAACCACTGGAGACTGCCAATTGCACACCTGTGGGAAGAGAGTGGACAGGGTGAAAGGAATTCTGACCCGGAACAAGGCAGGCAGAGAGGCGCACTACAAGGCCAGTTTCATTGGGTGACCGCAGCTCGACGTCCTTTGTCGACCTCGCCCAATCAGCCTCGTGGATCCAGTTCAGCCGTGCTCCAACAAGGTCCGGCTAGTGGATGCGTACAAACCAAAATCGGCTCTCGACGTGCCCGGATCACATTTCTTTTTGCCAAAACCGGATGTCGTGTCCGACTGCAGATTTCAGTTTGGACAGGCCTTACGAAGGGAATTGTCGAGCGCAAAGAACCGGGACATTGTCGCCTGCTGCAATTAGCCAGCTCCACTGACCAATGGCGGCAGGCGGCAATGTCCCTCAATCCCGCCATGCAGATTAGGGCCTCAGGTGGAAACGAAAGCCGGCGTTTGACGCTGTCGTGGCGGTTGGCCGTAGAAATTGTGAATGAAAAGGGTGAGCAGACGCAAGGGCTGTCGCGGCGTCCCATCACGTCTTCGGTTTGCATGGACTGTCGCGCTGCAGGGTGACCTAGGGCAGAACAGGCGTGTCTACTGTCTCTGGCCCGTGCACTGCCAGGATGTTGGGAGGCAACATTTCTAGATGTCGTCTTGCGCAAGGTTTAGGGACCGCTTTTGAATACCTGCATTTGAGACTAGAAGTGGGCAGTCGCTCAGTGCTTCCCTGGGCCGCTTTGTGCAGGACACTGGAGCCTCTAAAGGGCGTCGCCAAGCACCCAGAGGACCCCGGACACCAGTGACGCACCACCGGCACTCCTGGGCCTTCCAACTCATCTTACTGCCTCTCAACAGATTGTTTTATACCTGCCTGCTTTTTTACGTGGCCAGTGAGGCCGCCTACCATGCACTACTCTTTGTACATAGTCTACTAACTTCCCTTTGTAGGAAATATATACATGCTGATGAATTCTGCTTCTTGTGTTTGGCTTTGGAACCATCGTAGGGGCAAACACCGGAAGCTGGTTGCTTCAACGAAATAATGGGGGCTTAATTTTTTTTAGATTGGGAAATGTTGGGTAACTCGGGTTCCATTTTGGCATGTCATATGATACCCAATTTTGGACTGCAAAATGCCGTGCATCTGCGTCACAAGATGACGTCGGACACCGGTAAGCGCCATGCTGGTGGTTGAGTCGGCGGCCATTTGCAGCGAGAGCCATGGTAAACTGGGGAACGCTTGGCTCTAACAGTGACTATCCCAACCATCTTTTCGTCGGCATGCCCCGCTGCAGAGCAGCAGTCAAGTTTGAGAAAGTATGTGTGGAAGGGACGCGGCCGTGCATTACTGAGCGGGACGCATTTCGTAGTGGCGAGCAACGCCACTTTTCTACCGTTGTTTACGTTTGTGCACGTCAGTGCATGAGCTTTGCCCGTTCGTGATGCAGATGCCCTTTGCCTTTCTCTTTATTACGCCCTCTCCACGCTTGGAGCGCACCTTCGGGACTCCCTGCCGAGTACGGGCGAGAGTCGCGCCGCGAGCCCGGGGAGACGGCGGTCGGTCGGCGGCGGCGGCCCCCGTGTGCACGCTCGCCGAGGCGCCGCTGTTGAGACATCGGCTTGTGCCGTCCGCGACGCGGTAACCTTTGCAAGGAGCGAAAGTGTGCAGGCGAGCTGGTTAGGGAACATCGTAATCTAAACCCGGAGACAAGGAAAGTCGTCTTGTCATTCATTTAATTTCTTGTCTCAGGATGACGGCAGCATTGCGTTTTTTACCGATAATTCGCAAAATCGTAACAATTTTACTACAAGCGGCTCTTGGAGCCACTCATCAAATTTTAAAGCGCGCAATGAAGCTTTTTTTTTTTTTTTTTGTTGACACAACGGTTAAAATTTTGTCGGCGACTTGTTGAAACTTTCTGCTCGTAGCACAATCGCACCCACGCTCGTACCGCTCGTACTGGCTGAACGTCATCGCAAGCTCTGCATGTTTTTCCAAATTCACGTTTGTTGAAAATATGTTGCATTGCAGCACATGTCCGGGCAGTCGGCGGCATCCTACGCCTTTTTAGGCGCATCCGCGCGATGTGAAGTCAACCACCAGTCTGGTGCGGGGCCGGGGCCCCGTTTTTCCCCAGCGTGACGTCACATTTGCAAGACGTATGTGTTCAGATCAAATTCTCCATGGTTCAGATAGGGACGTGTCGTGTCTATTTTTAGAGCGCAGCAGCTCAAGGGGTGTCCAAACAGGACACTAGAAAACGCACGACTCCGACAAATCGTGAAAATCGAAGCCGACGCTTTTATTTTTACGATTTGTCGGAGTCGTAAAATTTTTTAGAGGAGTCGTGAAAATTTTCACGATCACGACTGCTCTCCTCGCCTCCTCCACTTTTCTCTGACGTCACACGCCACCTGTATCTGGCTCACCTCGCCAACGACCTCGCGTACCGTTGTCGCCTCGGCTCGAAGGCCAAGGGGGTCCGGCTTCGGGTGGATTTGGGCCATTCCTGCGTCGGAGGGTGCGTTTCGCCCGCCTCGGATCTGCTATCTTTGTCGAGATGCACTTTCGTCGTGATGGCGTCCGACGCGGTTCCGTATTGTGAGCGGAGGCCTTGAGCAATTGACCGACAGCCAACAGAGCGTGTGAGTGGCTCTCCGGACCCACGTGATGAGCAGAGCAAGGCCGCCGTGGAGGAAGCGAGGGGGAGATTTGACGGAGGGAAGTTTCCCCCCGGGAAGAATTGACGGAGGGAAATTTCCCTCCGACGGCCGGAAGCGGATCGCGGCAGAGCGCGCACGATTTGCCGGATTCGTGAGTCGTTGCATTATGAGACGTAACAGACCTATACACCAATTCAATTCCCCGCTAAATTTAGCGACTGAATTGGTGTGTAGGTCTGTGACATACCATAATGCACCACCACACGGGCGGATCCAGAGGATCCGGGGGGGGGGGGGGGGGGGGGGAAGAGAGAGAGGGAGCACATCATTGCACACCACACTGCTTGTTGTATCTTTGTTTAAACACGTATAAATAATAAAGAGGTATTTCCTCCCAGGGGCAAATCCAAAACTCCGTTTTTTTTTTTTTTGGGGGGGGGGGGGGGGGTGGGGCGGGCGGGAAATTTGGAAGGATACTATTCTCCCATTCTTTCGTGTGCACCGGGGGGAAAACCCATATCAAATTGCTCTCCGAGAAGGGGGGAGGAGGGGAGGGGGGGCGGACGGCCCCCCCCCCCCCCTCCCCCCCCCTTGGATCCTACCCTGCCACCACACTCAGTTTTCCCGCTGAATTTAGCGGTAAAACTGACGTCACATGACCAATTCAATTCAGTTTCTCCGGAAAATTTAGCGGGAAATTGAATTGGTGTGGAGGTCAGGTGACGTAAATTTTCCCGCTAAATCTAGCGGAGGAACTGAATTTATTTGTAGGTGGCGTGACACGAAGTCATGTGGCGTCATTTTCCGGGGAAACTGAATTGGTGTTAGGTCACGTGGCGTCACTTCCCGCTAAATTTAGCGGGGAAACTGGCAGGTGGGGAGGTAATCGAGAAGGAGAGGACGAGGAGGGTCCCCCGTAACCTCTCCTTCTCCGTATTCTCCCCTCTTCCCGCGTATCTTCCCGTCACGGTATATTGCAAAATCAAAATACCTCAAGAGCTGCTCTCTTAATTTCGTATTGCAGAGATTTGTAAACGTCTCAATTTTTGTTTTCAATATTTTTATATGAGGTAGCGAAGCATGTGCACACAATGGGACGGACTTTACTTTTGCGAGATACTTCATTGTGTGGGTAAGAAAAAAAGTTATATATATATATACTTTTTTACAAATCTCTAATGCGAAATTTGAGCGCAGCTCTTGAGGAGGAGGTGGGGGTTCCTCCTCCGTACCCTCCCTTCCTTTTCCTCCTCTTCCCTCCTCCGTACCCCTTCCCAGTTTCCCCGCTAAATTTAGATCAATGTGGCGATGCAGGCGAGTTGGTTTATGATTACAACTGGTAGCAGCGCGCAAAAAGGACAAAGGGAGGCATACACGAGACGAGCGCTGAACTTCAACTGAACGTTTGATGAAAAGAACAGGCCCGAGTAAACAACCACACGGTTACCGCGTCAACGCTCAAGATAAGCTATTTCTTTTTTTATGTAAATACACCGAAGCCTGGCTAACACAATTATCCCCCTCCTTCAGGTACGCTCCCAGCATTTTTCTTCTCGTTTTGTCACCCCCTTTCCCCACAATAGCTTCAAAATGCGGCTGACATGCAAGTGGCACACTGTTGTTGAGCGAAGCGACAGGGCATGTTCGCGCGCACGGTCGTTTAAAGGAGCGATGCAACAATTTTTGTACTGTGCACAAATACCGCTTAAATCGGATCCCTAACGTTAATGACCTATGAAACACGCGTTCGTTTTTCACCCCACGCAATAGAAGTCCCAGAAAAAAATTTAAGAAAAACGAGCGGCGTTCACCCCCTCAACTCGCAGCCAGAACAAGCGGCCACGTGATCTGGAGCCGATTATATGCCACCAGTGTTGATCATAGCCACGCGCAGGGGTTGGCAAAGCGCAGGACACGCGCTGAGTTCCAGACATTGTTATGGCTCGGGTGTTGTCGTCGTTGCAGCGATTGGACACGGGTCACAACCCGAATGCTTCTCGAGCTAGCAATTGTCACGAGCCCAAGTCGAGTGCCCACGCAATGCTCGGGTCCAATCTATGAACCGCATTAAAATATCGTCACTTGGGTGTACTGCGATCCCCGAGTTACGTCATCAAATTTTGCAAAGGAGAGATTGAATGAAAATGATCGCTTTTGTCCTTGAAATTACACCACAACAAAGGAGTTTCTTGGCCAATGGTGTTGCGTGTGAGTATCCTTGAGTCCGAGGTGTGCCAGTAAGCTAGTGTAGAGAGAAAAACATTCCAATTGAATATCGTTGCACAGCTCCTTTAAGCATCAGTTAATTTCACCCAAGGAGGTTAGAAGTACTAGGAGGGGGCACATTGCAATATTGGTGAAGCCTAGTCATAAAAAGTTTAAACGATTTTGTGCCCAGCGTGACCGCAGATCTCTCTTGCTATTGGTGCGCGTGACATGTCACGTGTGAGATGGATGGTTGATTGCTGAAGGACTCCTTGCAGGCTTGCGCGCGCTCCGTCCGGTAGGTTTTATCAGGTCGAAGTCTAGACTGTGGTGTATTTTAGTACCCCATAGCAAGACGAAGTCTAGCTACGGTCACGTGATGTGGTCACGTTGGCATGGTAAGTGAGGAGAGTAAGGAGGAAAATGAGAAAGGCGAGGCGTCAAGGGAGCATGGCTTGTGAAGGCTACGCGGCCGACGTTATGCCCTCTCCTATTTTTCTATTCTCCATGGTTTAACCGCTGCTCAAATGTACTCGGTACAAGTCCTGCGCGTTTCCTCCTCTAAACGGCATCGCTAGTAGTGAAGTCGGTGATCCTGGGAAAAGTGGCGCCATTCCGCCGCGCACACTATTGGCCAGTTGTAACGTGACATCTGGCTTTCGGTTTTAGACTTCCGGTCGCCATGAATTTCCCAAGATGTTGCTACGCGGCAGCTGACGGGCTGCTGCGCCTCTAGAAAAGTCGGCCGGAAAGCTTGGCAGGGAACGGAAAATGAACCTGGGAGGAAGATCTTGCTGCACCGAATCGGTCGAAGATTTCAACCCGACGGAAGCCGCAAGTTATGCGAGGTAAGTGCTCTGTATAAATACCAGCAATGAAAAAAAGACAGCTGTTTAGAACGAGGTATGCACTCCATTCCACCGTAAACGCGAGCGATGTAATAGCGAGCACAACATTGCCAACTTGGCATGCGCGGGCTAGAGTGCCTTCATACACACGCGCGCTTTTGCTTGAGTGGTGACATCTCAGCCATTTTTCCGCCCAATCGTTTTTTTATGCATTTTGAAGTGCGCGCAATCCGGTGTCAGTCAGCTCGAGCGC